CAAGCATCTCGGAATTGGAATATTCGCTTTGACGAGGTGATCAAAGCTTTTGGATTTATCCAAGCTTATGGAGACACTTGTATCTACAAGAAAGTGAGGGGGAGCTCTGTAGCATTTCTAATACTGTATGTGGATGACATATTATTGATTGAAAATGATATAGAACTTTTGAAAAGCATAAAGGGTTATTTGAACAACAGTTTTTCAATGAAAGACCTCGGTGAAGCAGCTTATATATTGGGTATAAAGATCCATAGAGATAGATCAAGACACTTAATAGGACTTTCACAAAGTACATACCTTTCAAAATGGACCAGTCAAAGAAGGGGTTCTTGCCCATGTTGCAGGGTATGAAGTTAAGTAAGACTCAATGCCCAACTACGGCAGAAGAAAGAGAAAAGACGAGGGTCGTCCCCTATGCCCAACTACGCTCTTTCATGTATGTCATGTTGTGTACCAAACTTGATGTGTGTCTTGCCATAAGTATGGTTGGTAGGTCCTAGGGTGATCGAGGAGTGGAACACTGGACAACGGTCAAAATATCCTTAAGTACTTAAAGAGGACTAAGGAAATGTTTCTTGTTTATGAAGATGATAAAGAGCTCGTCGTAAAGGGTTACGTCGATGCTAGCTTTGACACTGATCCGAATGATTCAAAGTCTCAAACCGAATATATATTTATTTTGAGTGGTGGAGTAGTGATGAGTCCAATTTACGTGATATTTTTCTTACTTATTTTGTGCCCAGAAGGTGGGCTTTGTGCAATTTACCACGCTTGCGCACTTCTTTTTGTTGATAATCTTTCAGGTGATGTCTTTTGAAGCAATATTCATTTAATGAAGAAAACCCTCAAAAATGGCAGCGGGATCCACGTATTAAAGGTGATGGACACTTTCCATAAAAAATCAAGCAAGAAGGCCAAAGAAACAGCTGCCGTCGGGCTTCCGGAGCAAACGACGATTGACAACTAGGGTTACACATGGTCGATTGTCAAGTAGGGATAACCATGCCGATGGGTGGAGTAGTCCTTGAAGTACACGCCAAGTCTTCGGCAGTGTCCACCTTGATAACGTCTGAGTTCGAGGCTTCCAAAGTCCTTCCCTGTGAGATTGGTGGGCCATAAGCCCGGCCCGTGGACTGCGGGCCAACTAGGTTGGTACCCCTTAGTCCATGATACCGTCTCCATTGAACGAAGGCTCATGAAAGAGTCGATGAAGTGGTCGTACGGATAACGTGTTCTGCAAGTTTGTTGGCGGGTTCGGTCCAAAAGGTACAAAAAAATTGACACGAGGAAATAGGGGTAGAGCTCTCTTTATTAATCATTCGTCATCCGCTCGTACAAAGAACACTCTCCCTTTTATATAACTAGGTGTATGGAATAAATGCGAGATTGTATTTTTGGAGCCCAAGTGCATTGGAGGACTTTATTTTAAATAGTTTTAAAACACATTTATCATATGGATGTATATTACACATGCATAAAGTTTGGTGATAAAATAAGTAAACATGTGAGCTATACAAAAATGACAAAACAGTGATTTCTAAATAGTGAATAATGATGCACTTTTCATCTTTCCAAACCGAAGATTTAGTCATATTTGTGTAACTCACATGGTTACTTGTTTCAGCATCAGAATTTCCACGTATATAATATACATTTATACAAACATGTTGAATTTTTTTCAGCTTTTTTTGAAACTTAAAAAAAAACATTTTGACACTATTCAAAATATATGACTCACTAGAGCTTATCCTTCAAAATGACTTTTTGAGATAAGTGTCCACTTTAATATTAAAGGGATGGACTTGGTCCACAAAGAGCCGGTGGAGCGGCCCACTCATAGTGGGCTCCACTAGAGGACCAAGTTTTGCAACAACCGATACATATCAGGGCGATCGCCGACTAAGTGCTACTACCAGGTCAACTCATTAGCGGGAGGTTGCGAATAGCTAAGAAGAGATATCGATTGCCTTTAGGAATCTTCTGGAAACCTTCAACGTAGTGTTATGGAGGTTCTAGAATATTTTTTTCATCTTTTTTTCCTGGTTTTCTCTCTACCCCTCCCCCCTTTATAGTTTTTTTTCTTTTTTTCTTTTTCACCCTTTTTTATTCATGAACGTTTTTAAATTTGCAAATATTTTTAGATCACACGAATATTTTCTAAATTCATGAAATTTTATGAAAATTTTAAATTCGTGAAGATTATTCGAATTCAATGTTTTTTAATCAATGAACTTTTATAGAATTCACGATCTTTTTTTGAATTTGGGAACATCTTTAAAATTCAAGAACATTTTTTACATCTGCCATTTTTCTAAAATCACATTGCTTTTCAAATTTATGAGCATTTTCTGAACTCGTGTTTTTTAGATTTTTCCTTTTTTTAATTTGTGAACTTTTTTGAAACTATGATTTTTGTTTTAAATCACAAACGCTTTGAAAATCATGAATAATTATCAGATCTGTGATATTTTTTGCAAATCCCGTGAACCTTTTTTTTATTTAGTCAACTTTCTAAAATTTAAATAAAACCGAAAAAATAAAAAATAAAGTGGAATATATCGGGGGAAAACTGTCGTCCATGCATACGCTGGTTCAGGACTTGTCGGGCGCTGGGCCATGCCCATGTAGGCGCATGCAGTCAGCTAGGCGAGGCATAACGCCTGCAATGGGTCATATATATCACAAGTTCTATTATTTGACGCATCTTAGCGTCGAATAGACGCCTGAAGCGAGGCGCAAATTGGTCAGCCCATACTTGTGAGCTCATTTGAGCTAGCTGGTTTCCTTCGTTTTTTCTCTATGGTTTTCATGACGGTTTTTTATAGAGGTGAAATAACTAAAACCAATATAACAAATAGAAAATAGATATTAGAAAAACTATTCAATATGTTTCTCTAAAAAATCAATATTTGTTAGAAAAATAATTGTATGTAACAAAAAAATTCACCAAACATTAAAGGAAGTTCATGGTATACTAAACAAAATGTTCGATGTGCATTTAAAAGAAGTTCATCATATATTAGAAAAAACTTACCGTGGAGTAGTAAACAAATGTTCAGTGTGTATTTTTAAATACTCATCATATATTAGAAAATAAAAACGCAAAAGGAAAACCATAAAAAACAAATCAGAAGAGAAAACAATAAAATAAAAATGAGAAAGGAAAAGAAATAAAAAACAAAGAAAAAATAAAAACTTAAAAAAGAAAGAATCACAAACAATACTAATAAAAAGGAACCACAAAGAGAAAAGCCAAAAAAACAATAAACTAAACAACATACATGCGTGCAGCGGAGCCCCAAACAAGGCTAATTCGTTGCGTATTGTTTGCTGGCGGAGGCTCCACTATTTGACGTTAAATAGGATCAACTCTTTGTGATCTAATAAGTATTTATTGTAATTTTAAATTGAGATTAGTACAAAACTGCAACACGTATAGATGGCATATATCACCTCCTGTGTGGTGTTTTTTAAGGTAAACATGCATTCCGTTAAACTGAATTGAGATTACAGGAACCCACAAACATGGAAACAACGAAACACACATGAACATAATAGATATCCTAAAAACCTTGCAAGACAAAGCCCATGGAAGATGAAAAACAAACAGGAACTAAGGGCTCCTTGCACACGCCGTAAATGGCAAACCATCATCAAACCTCCAATACCATCGAGACGCTCGCCAGACATATCGGAGAAAGGCCTCATCGTTGCCATAGCCAGAGAAGCACCATCATCGTCGAGGCTTTGTGAACCGAAGACCAGGCTCGCCCATATCAGCCAGGGGTTGCTACCGTGCCCTCCTGACTTCGGAACCGGAACTTCACGTTGACATCGTCGAGAAAGACGACTAGAACCGCAATCTAGGGACTACTTCCCTTGTTCCACTTAGGCCATCATGTTCTGCACACTGAAGCCACCACCAAAAGGAGTAACCGTCAGCCCCCTCCTGAACAAGGACGCCATGCTCCTCAATGACGTTGGAGGGGACGCTGCATTGTCGAGGATTGAGCAGGAGGACACAAACATCTAAAGAAGACATCGACGTTCTCGTCTCGCCTACATTAACAAAGAAACAAACTTAATCCCGTCGATCTGAAGGACCGTTGAGTAGACATGACACATAGCTCTCAGACGCCGCCGGTGTGGAAATGGAGCCGATGTAGATTTATTCTCTCGGCACCGCCCCCACCACCCCAACAATGCAACAAAAAACCCTACCCCTATGACTATTTACAAGCCAAGAGAGAACTGCCCCCTCCCCCTCCCCGGGTCGCCGGAGCAGCGGGCAGAGAGGGAAGGGGTCCGCGACCTTGCCGACGCACATTGTGGGGAAATCGCCCTCCCAAATCGCCTGTTTGTAGGGAACTGGGGATAGAGGAAAGTGGGTGAAGAGACCCGGGGGAACGGCCAACGGGGAGTTATCTCCTCATGCGGCGGTTAGCAATGTAAATTGCAAATAAGCGGCATCTGCAAGTTCCGTTTAGTTAGATTTAACTAGCTTCATAGTTTATTAAAAAAACAAAGCAAATTATTGAACGGTTAGATCACTTTACTGGGTTTAAACAGGATTAAACCGACCGTTTTTACATTATTGTGTGTGCGGTGTTGCGCGGGCAACTACCGCCGTCAGTTCTGCTGCACGACAGGATACCGATAAACCGGTAGGACCCACAACGCAGTGTCTCATTTTATATTATATTTGGATTTTGAAATTCACCGTGTCCCAATTAACACACGATACAAACGTGCCAATCCGCACGCCAGCCCGCGAAGCAGCCGTACTTTTATCGGACCCCCACCCCAAATCCCCCAATCCCTACCCGACCAAAATCGAAGCTTCCACCAAACGCCCGGAGCCCCCCTCGTGAAGCAGCCCGGATCGAATTGCGGTCGTCTCGATCATCCGCTCGATTCGACGCCGCCGGACGATTTGGGCGCGGAATCCGGAGGGGGGTATCTGTGCGCGCGGGCGGAGGCGATCGAGGGGAGCAGCCATGAGCGAGGTGTTCGAGGGCTACGAGCGCCAGTACTGCGAGGAATCCGCCTCCCTCTCCCGCAAATGCACCGCCGCCTCCGCTCTCGATGGAGGTACGTGTCCACCGCCCCCCATGCGTAATTGTACCGGGGGATTTCTCCCCCCTTCTCCCCGCGGCTGGTTTTGTCTAACGCGGTGAGATCTAATGCAGAGAAGAAGAAGCAGAGGCTCTCCGAGATCCAGTCCGGCGTGCAGGAAGCTGAATCGCTGGTAAATACTAGGTTTATTTTTATTTATGGGGTTCCTTTGGCTACATGCCTATGCGATTCTGCTGCCCTACATTCTGCCATTGGGAAACTAGGATGTGATTTTGGGAGGTGTAGGTGAATGTGTGATTTGGGGCAAGTTCTGTAGATTGTCTGGGCTATGAGGTCCTATATGCCCTTGTTTCACTGCCCCACATGGCAGTATGTGATTTTTATTTCTTTCATGTGTTTATTACAGATTCGGAGGATGGACCTGGAGGCTAGGAATACGCCGCCGAGCGTGAAAGCGGGTTTGCTAGCTAAGCTGCGGGAGTACAAATCTGACCTTAACAACCTCAAGAGCGAGCTCAAGAGGATCTCGGCGCCCAATGCCAGGCAAACTACAAAGGAGGAGCTCCTTGAATCTGGCATGGCTGACACACTTGCGGTGAGCTCTCTATTCCTATTAATTCAATTGCCACATAGATACTGTGAATAACTAACTCTATTTATACCTTTTAATGTGGTACTATTAGGTGATTAGGTTGGTGCTGAAATGATGATCAAAACTTAGTGACATCTAATATGTGGTACTATTAGATGAGCATTAACAAAATCTCATCTAACTCCCACACTGTTTAATTAATCAAGCAAGAAAGTAAAAGAAAAAAATCCACACGAATCTCCGCGTAAAATCAAATGGTGGAGTTAGATGAGACTTACTTGTTTCTCATCCAGATGAGAACTAGACATACCCATTGTTTATTCAATTGTGGCAGTATCCCTAATATTGGTCACTAACAATATTGTGAATCTTATTGGTGCTTATGATTAGATTAATATACTGTATTTTGAACTTCTCTTGGACTACTTAGCTGTGATGCTGTTAGTAAAGCTGTACTTTAGAATGCTGCACACTACTTGGTTATGTTTAGATTGTGTGCAGTGACACGGTTAACAATTCTGTGATGTACTATCTGACAGCATGCGAAATATGAACTTAAGTACTGCATACCGCACTACAATTGCCTTGTCAATTGGGCCATTCTCCCCATATTGACATGTTTGGATGCTTATCTAGTCTGTTAAATTGCATTTTATTTTATGCGGTTGCAAAGAAGACCTTGTTTCTTAAAATGATGGTGATTGCAGTGACAATTCACCCCAAATAATGAAGATCACAATGACATTTCTCCCAAGATGCCCACCACAGTGGCTTTATTTTGTCTCATTAACCAATAGTTGACCACCCCTGCTGAGCTGCAAAGGAGGCACTCTACATACTTTGCTGAGTTTTCCTAACATGAACAATTTCTTACTTTTGCATTGTCCTCTGGCTCATGCTCCGCCACTGAATGCTGGAGTTAGAAAGTGTATAACTGATTATACCCTATTTTAATTTATTTCTGAATTTTGATTCTCAAAAATGTCCATATTCTTCCATTGCACCGCTGTGCTGATTTGAATTCATTAGGACTTGTATCTGTATCCCCCCTCACTAACTATGATTGCTTCGTAATTTTGAGTTGTATTTCTTTGTTTTTACTGAATGAAGATATTGTTTTATGCAAAGTGACAGTGGAAACAGTGATGGAAACAATAACTCCTTGGCGTTTCCTATAAATATGCCCCTTTTGACCAATAAATGAGTACTACAATGTGTAGATGTATCTTCAAGATACTGCTTCGCTGCATAGCTTGTTTCTGTAGCCTTATTAGAAAGTAAACTGCAGAGGGGAAAATCATATCTGCTGTGCAGAATGGTATCTGTTCAGAACCAAAAGACAAAAAGAGAATTGTACCTCTTCTTACTGCATTATAAAAGAAAATGTAGTCTCGATTCAATCATTTTGAAAAGCTGCTTAATATATCAGGAAAAGGGAGTTATCCACTTTATGTATTCCTGGATAACGCAAGTTCTTGCAATGTTGTCTTTCTGTATTGTAGAAACAGTGTTCCCTGTCTTGACATATTTCTCTATTGATGTGAAGTGTATATATAATGCGGTATTATTATGTTTGTTCTGATTTCTTAAGTGGTGTCAAAGTTCTTGATGTTTGCTAGTTTTAGTACTCATGCTGTACTTGGGAATTCTTTCCTGGCTCAGGTGTCCACTGATCAGCGAGGAAGGTTGATGATGACAACTGAAAGACTGAATCAGTCCACTGACAGAATTAAAGAGAGCCGAAGAACTATGCTGGAGACAGAAGAACTTGGTGTGTCGATTCTTCAGGACCTTCATCAACAACGGCAGTCACTACTGCATGCTCACGATACTGTATGTATTCAGTCATAACTGCTTTATTGTAGTTTAGATATACTTCACTGAAATGTTATGCAAACCATTGTTGGCTATATAGCTCTTTTGTTCATCATTCCTTCCAGCCCAGTTGTTATTTCTGGCACTACTGATAGAGATCAGATTGCTATAGCCCATTATATAGGTTCTAGGTTTGATAATTTGCTAAATATAATAAGCATAGTTTTCATGTGTTGAATGCAGGATCTATTATCAAAATAGAGTGCTGGTGGTTCTAGTTTATTAAATTCTGTTAGGTGCAGTGTAATAGCTTTGAAAGTGCCTCCACCTTGAGCAATTCTTTTAATTTTTGTTTTCTCGACCATTGAATGTTAGTATTATTTATAACCTACTTCCTGCACTCCAAATTAATTGAAGCTCTAGTTCTGTCCCAAGTCTAACTTCTTAAACTTTGACCAAGTCTATCGGAGGATATATCAACATCTACAACACCAAATTAGTTTAATTAGATTCATCATAATGTATATTTTAGAAGTGAATCAAATATCTCATTGGTTTATTCTCCTGGGTATAAAGAGCAAACAGTGGGTGATCTCCCCCTTTAGTAGCATGTGCATGTTATGATAATTGATGCATTTCTTGAAATATCACAATCTTTGTGCTCATTTAATCAGTTAGGTGCATTATCTAGAATTTCTAGCGTGTAATCGAAGATACTCTACAGCATGACCTTGTGTTTTATTTTGCATGACATCCCATTGCTCTATTTGTGTATGAATAGTGAGTATATTCTGGTACCTAGCTTAGTAATGTGTCGCTGTACGGTCGTTGAGTGATGATAGCATAAAAGCCTGTAAAAGATCATTTATTCAGTCCCAGCAATTCAAGGGCTTGGCCACTTGGGAATTTGGCTAATATTAGAAGTTAAAACAAATATCTATTCCGTTTATTCTCTTGGATATTACATTATTAAGAGCAAATAGTAGCATTCCTTCAAGTAGCAGCATATGCATGCCATGATAATTGATACAATTGTTGAAATATCAGAATTTTTATTCCTGCAAAATTCATCAGTTATTAGTTACATAATAGAAGTTGTGAAATAGTGTGACTCTCATCCTTATTTGTTAGTTTGTTAGTATGTTATGTTAACTTTGCTAACACCATTGCATACAAGCAAATGTTAGCAATAACCATGATTTGCTTCTTATTTACTCCTACTTATTATCCTTATCTCTATTGGATTCAAAAGAAAAAAAAATCATAGTTGTGTTAGTGACATGAGTCTGGTCTTGTTTACAGTTGCATGGGGTTGATGATAATGTTGGAAAGAGCAAGAAAATCCTGTCGGCAATGTCAAAGAGGATGGACAGGAACAAGTGGATCATTGGTGGAATCATTTCAGCTCTTGTTGTGGCCATCCTTATCATACTCTACTTTAAGCTCGCTCACTGAGCCAGCCAGGTAGGTCATCCAAATTGTATGTGTTCAGTAAAATTGTGTGATAAGGTTGTCTGAACGCTGTACATTGGACGACACCCACCGATTGTCCCTCGGAAGTTCATTGGTTCCCCAAACATGTTTATAAATATTTGATGAGTGGTTCATTGGCATGTCATGTATAGCAACCGCTCGTGTCAGGAGGTCAGTTGTGCCCGACCATATTATGATGTAAAACTGTTGAGAAAAACAAAAGTGGAAAAGAAGATGACCTGTGTTGATATACTACCTGCTTGCATATGTTTCTTCAGTACTTGTCTGTTCTTTACACATTCGAGGTCGCTTGTGCATACTGTCATGTTACACCGTATATAGGCCGTGTAATCCCTCCCAGAATCTGATCCCCGAACTGTAGTCGTTGTCCACCGTCCAATTATTGTGATTAGCCAGCACTGCACTCAGTTCGTTATCGTTGTCGAGGTTGGGTTGCGACTGACTTCTTGTGAATTATTGTGCACGCAGCGTGGGGCAGCTAGGTGCGCTGGTGTGCATGCAGAAGGGAGGGTGGCTGATCTGATCTAGGGTGGGCAAGTGGGCGGGTCGTATGCGATAGGGCCGTATCTTAGGCTTTGATATGCTGCCCATTCGGGTAAGGCCAGCATCAGGGCTTGATCGCGACGCCCAGGCTTGAGGATGATGCGTACGACTTTCCTTGTAGGGAAGGAAGGAACGCCAGAGAACTCTTTCGAAGGGGGGATCGCATCTTTCTTCGCTGTGGCCTGCGAATGCTGAACAGGAAAGCGTCACCGAAGCCGTTGCATGTATCTCCAGCTGTGTGAGCTCGCGAAGCTTTCCGAAGCGGCATCGATGGAACTCGGTTCCAGAAGCTTGAAACGTCCTCCAACCGGAATCCGTTTCCTCACAAGGAAGCCGCGGGCTGATTGGTTTACCTCGTGACGGCTGCAAACAGAAAACCACCACCCGGAAGAAAGAAGAGAAGCGCGACGCGAGCAGTCCTTTTCGATGGTTTTGAAACGGAAACCGGGTGCTGAACCGAACGGAACGGAGTGAATGCCCCGCGCGCTGCGTGGTCAAATCAGCCGTCATGGCATACTACTAGTACGTCGTAGGCGGCGCTGCACCGTCTGGACAGCCGGTTAGCCTCACGCCGACTCGGAACAGTTAGAGTCCCAAGAGGCTAGGCCTCCAGTCAGGTGATGATGAGCAACCTAGCCAACGAACGCCGCCTGCGAAATCACTGTTGACGGTGGTGAGAGCAATTTTAATGGGGCGATCCATTTCGTCTGCGGCTGTCCGTTTGGATCAGCGCGGACAAAAAAGCCGGCCCAACGTGTCGATCCAGACGTACGCGCGTCCGCTTTCGTCCGCCTGCCGACCTATTCTCGGCACATTTTTGAGCTTGATTTGCGTCGGCGCGGACACAAGACAAACGCGCGTGCTCGCCCTCTTTCTTCACTGGGCCTGCTGGTTGGTGACACATTAGATTCACACACTCGCCCGCCTGCTACATCGCCGACGCCGCCGGTCATTTTTTTCAGATTAAAATGGATACATAGATAGTTCTAACGTACACAGATAAAAGAAAAAGACCACTACTCTTCACTTTCTGACTCCGACTCGGTAATGTCCTCCTTCGACGTTTGAAGGTAGGCGTCAGCAAGCTGCTCGTCTTCAAAGTCCCAACCCGACGTTTCTTGTAGCTTCAGTTTCAATTGAGATGTCTGCTTCCGCGAACGCTTGTCCTCCCGATAGGCGGCTTGCTCCCTCCTCCTCGCGTCCCTCTCCGATCTCAATTGCCTGTAGAACTGACGCTCGTCGACGATGTCCTGCGGGTAGCCTCCGCGCCACAGCACCAAGGCTTCCACGTCCTTCTCTGCGATGGCGAGGCGACGCTGCCGCCTCCGGTGGACACGACGATCCTCGTCGGTGAAAAGCCGCGGGAGAGGCGCCAGATCCTGGGCCCGCTGGCTCGACACGTTGGGAAAACTCATATCCCGACGAGGCCTCAGGAGGCGCCACGCCGCCGCGTCGTGCGCGCGGGCCGCCTCCTCTGCGGTGTCGAAGGTGCCGAGGACGAGATGTTTCTCGCGAAACCAGATCTCGGCGGAGAAGGCGCCGGAGCGGCGCTCGCGAACTCCGCGAAAATCCGAAGCTCGCAGGCGGCAGATCGACATGGTGGCGCAGAGGCGGCGAGAGTGGGCGGCCGACAGAGTGTGGAGGGAGCGCCTTCTTTATAGCGAGCGCCGGCCGCGGCGCACACGCGAACCTTTTCCGCGCGCTGGAGCGCCAAAACCAGCGCGCGCTAGGCCGCTTTCCCCCCGCAAGCGAACCTTTCCCGCGCGCTGAAGCGCCAAAATAAGGGCGACGACACGATGTTAAACGCGCGCGGTCATGAAAATGGGTCAGCCCGTTGGGCACACTGCCGTCCTAAAAGTAAAAGAGGACGGACGGCGGGCGGGCGGCCGATCCAAATAAACAAAAAGCGGACAAAAACACCGTTCATTTGGGTCGGCCAATTGAAGTTGCTCTAAGCGTTTGACCAAATGAACACATCCTATGCATGCAATTCATCGACCGAGAGCGTTCATCCTCTGGACTAGACGCAACATCGGCTCATACAGTGAGAATGAGTTGCCGTCCAGGGCCGTCATCAAACGACACCTGCTCCGCCGCGCGCGATATTATTCCGTTCCCACCCGTCGTCAACACCTTGTTGGATCATCCTCTCCGGCCACTGGACCGAATGACGTACGGAGCGGAGCCAGCCACCGATCGGGTCGGTATGTTGCACGGAGCGGCAAGGCAACGAGAAAAGCCTCGAGCCAAAACAACGGCTGACGGACAGGCGCGTCCTGAAATCATGCAGAAGAAAACAGTCAGACAGGGAGGGAAGGAGAGCGTGTCCGCGTGCATGTGCCGAGCAATGAGGGCGCGCCTTTCTCAAGGCGCACGCTTGGGCTTGGGTCTCGACGGGAACTCGGGCGGTGGATCGTGAGGGATAGAGAGAAGTGGCAGCGAGCGCGGGGAGCAGATGCAGACTGCGGCCTGCCATGGGG